ATGAATGATTGATTTTAAAATAGATATTTTGTAAATGTTTACTCAATAATAATGCTATTAAAAGTCATCAGCTTAACACACACACATCCCCACAGTGATATGGAGGGAGCTCTGGTGGCCTAGTGGCAAGAAGTTGCGCTCTAATCCCAAAATCAGGCAGTTCGAGTCCATCAGCTCCTCTGTGGGCAATCTCTTCCCAGGCGATTAACTGTCTGGAGGGGCAGCTATGGGTCGGTTCCGACTCAACGGCACACACCACCACCACAGTGATATGGCTCCAGAGACCAAAGAAAACTCTTCCCAAACAGGGAATATTGTTATATCTACAAGCATTGAGGTCAGGGTTTACAAGACTTATCTGAGAAGTCACAATATTCAATACATGGCAAAGTCAGAAGTCCACAATGGATCGACCTGCCTTTATTCCCTCTAGAGGCTCCAGGAGAGAATGTTCGCTGGCTTTTTCAAGCTCCTGGAGGCTCCCCGTGTTCCTTGGTTCATGATACTAAGTCTTCAGTTTAGCATCGCCCAATCATCTGCCTCTCTCATTCCAAAACCCCTACTTAAACCACAGCTGCAAAATGCCTAGTACCATAGAAAAGAACAAAATCACAGTAAACAGAGTCTCAACTGGAAAGGGTCTAGGGTACCAGCCTAGGTAGAAATCTGGGCTTTCTTTTTCAGGCAATGTGGGCAAGTGAGAATCAATTCAATCACAACAGAGCAGAGTTAAACATGGGTTTAGAGAAGAGTATCCAAGAAAGTGCTTCCATTGAAAATGGCTTTGTTTGAACCAGTTTCTGGTGTTCCAATTCATTTACTTTTTCTTTCAAATGTATTCTTTCCTTCCAAACACAATTTTAGAATCTGATGAACGAGAGTTGGTCACTAAGAACCAGGCATTATTTTGTCCTTACTAAATCAGGCTGGTTTTAGATATAATCTGCTAATCTCACTTAATCTCTCCCACAGGCCCAGGAGGTAATCACTGCTATCTTCTCCATGCTGTTCCCATGGGCTCAGACAACTCCCAAGGACCCAACAAGGACTAAACAGTACTGCCCACGGGGTTGGGTAGGCTGCACTCTTTACTGAAGCAGAACGTTACTTTTTATTCTCCCACAGAAACAGCCAGAGGGTTGAAATGGAGAACAAAAATGATTATCAGGGGAACTTCGAAATAACTACTTTAATCTGAGGATGAAACGTTCAGAAGAGGGGAAAGGATACACGGCATTATGAAGAAGAATTCAGTCTCCTTTGAGAGAATCTAATAATACTCCTCCCGGTGAAATGTTGTTATTGTTGCTGTTAGGTGTTGTCAAGTCAAATATGATTCATAGAGACCCTATGAAGAACAGCTCAGGTACCATCGTCACAATCTCCACCATACACAAGCTCATTCTTTCAGTCACTATGTCTATCCATCGCTTGAAGATCTGCCTGTCCTTCTCTAACCTTCCCAAGCTGTCTTCTTCCAAGTACTAACAACATGCCCAAAGTATGTGAGAGGCAGTTTCATCACCCTTGCCTCTAAGGAACATTCTGGTTACACTTCCTCCAAGACTTCCTTGTTGGTTCTTTTGGCAGTCCCTTGAATATTCAATGCTTTACCAACACCACAATTCAGTGGCATAAGTTATTCTTTAATCTTCCTTATTCATTGTTTGGTGAGAAAGAGAGACTGAAAATGTAACTTTTCAGAAACCTCAAACAAATCAGGAGTCAGATGAACTCCAACCAAGGGTCCTTTGACTAATAATCCTCAATTGTGTTGGTGTTGTTGTTGTTGTTGTTGTTGTTATTGTTAAGTGTTGCTGAGTTGTGTTAGATGCTGTCAAGGCTGACTCATAGCGATTCTATAAATAACATCTGACCTCTGCTTTATCCTGTCCCATTCTCATCTGCCACACTAGGGCCCACAGAAACAGTCACTGTGTCAATATATATTAGGTCTTCCTCTCATTGGCTGATCCCTCTCCTTTTTAAGCAAGATGCCTTTTCCCCAAAGACTGGTGCTCTTAATATCATATCCAAAATACGTGAGAATAAGTTCCACTATCCTTCCCTCTAAGAAGCATCCTGGCTACATCAAGATTTATTTGTTCTTTCGCAGGTCATAGGCTATTTAGAAAGCTCTGGTGACCTGGTGGCAGGAAGCTGCACTGCAATCTCAAAGGCATGCAGTTCGAATCCACCAGATGCTCCGCAGGAGAGGGCTGGACAATCTCTTCCAGTGTGCTTGAAAACCCTCCAGAGGGTCAGCTATGGGTCTTTCCAACTGACAGTACTCCACAACAACATACATCTATTTGTATTACATTGTTGTTACATACCATTGAGTCAGAACTGACTCACAGCTCATCTCCCAGCAGCTTCTCAGAGACTATAAATTAATTACATGGGATGAGAGTGTCCATCCCAAGGAGCAACTGATAGATTAGAACTGTGCTTTTGGGTTGGCAGGGCAACTCCTCACCACTAA